AAACAGGAACAAAGGGACAAAAAGCCACACAAAAACAAAACAATGGGACAAAATGACACAAAGGGGACAAAAGGGGACAAAAGGGGACACAAGGGACAGGAGAAACAAAAGGGGACAAAAGGGGACACAAGGGAACAAGAGGAGACAAAAGGGGATAAAAGGGGACAAGAGGGACAAAAGGGGACAAAGGGGACACAAGGAAACAAAAGGGGAGAAAGGGGATAACAGGGGACAAAAGGAAACACCAGAGACAAAAGGGACAAAAAGGGACAAAGCGGACAAAAGGGGACAAAGGGGGCAAGGGAACAAAGGGGACAAAGGGGGAAAAAAGGAACGAAGGGGACAAAGGAGGGCAAAAGGGGACAACAGGAAACAAAAGGGACAGGAGGAACAACAGGGGACAACGGGGACACAAGGGAACAAAAGGGGACAAAAGGGGACAAGAGGGACAAAAGGGAACAAAGGGGACACAAGGGGACAAAAAGGGGACAAAGGGGATAAAGAGGGACAAAACGAAACAACAGGAACAAAAGGGACAAAAAGGGACAAAGCGGACAAAAGGGGACAAAGGGGACAAAGAGGACAAAGGGGACAAAAAGGAACAAAGGGGACAAAAAGGAACAAAAGGGGGACAAAAGGAAACAAAAGGGGCAAGAGAGATACAATATGAGACAGGTACGAAAGAAAACAAAATCACATGAAAGGCACCCCTAAGGCACCCGCCAAGCACTGGAAAGGCACTGGAAAGGCACCCGCAAATCGCCCGCACAAGATTTCTGGAACAAGCTATCGCCTCGAAAATTATTGCATGTGCTATTGAACTGCTCGACTACGAAACCAGCGCTTTGCTCCAAGCGACCCAAGACTTCATTGTCAAGGCACCCGGAAAGCACCCGAAAGGCACCCCAAAGACACCCCCAAATCGGCACTCCAATTTTTTATGAAACGCATACCCTCGAAAAGTGCTAAACGCAGCATTGAAACTTACATATCCGACAACGTGTTTTGCGCCAGGCGCCACAAAATGTCATGTTTGTGTGCTCCACCCCCCGCAGAAATTGTCAAAAAAACACACACACAATTTCCTCCTTTTCACATCCTCAAGAAGCCCTCGTGGGCAGCGGTAAGCGCTAGCAATCCCCCCTTTTTCAAAACCTTGGGCAAGCTCCTCTTGGCTCCCTTTGCAAGGCACCCGAAAGGCACCCCAAAGGCACTCGCAAATCGCCCACGCAAAAATCCTGGAACAACATATCTCCTCGAAGAATACGACATGTGCTATTGAAATGTGCAACTAAGAAATCAACGCTTTGGTCAAAACGAGCCAATGATTGCATGGTCAAGGCTCCCGCAAAGCACCCGCAAGGCACCCGCTATGCACCCCAAAGGCAGCCGCAAATTGCCCACACCAAATTTCAAGAAACAACAGATCTTCCAAAAGTGTTGCATTTGCAATTGACATCTGAAATTGAGAAAACAACGCTTTGCTCCAAGCGACCCAAGATTTCATTGTCAAGGCACCCGGAAAGCACCCGAAAGGCACCCCAAAGACACCCCCAAATCGGCACTCCAATTTTTTAGGAAACACATACCCTCGAAAAGTGCTAAACGTAGCGTTGAAACTTACATATACGACAACGATGTTTTGCGCCAGGCGCCCCAAAATGTCATGCGTGTGTGATCCACCCCCCGCAGAAATTGACAAACAAATACACATGTTTTCCCCTTTTCACATCCTCAAGAAGCCCTCGTGGGCAGCGGTAAGCGCTAGCAATCCCTCCTTTTTTCAAAACCTTCAGCAAGCTCCTCTTGGCTATCTTTTGGCTCCCTCTTGGCTCCCTCTCATATCCCTATTGGCTTCCTTTTGGCTCTGTATCGATGGATTTCTTGTGTACCCATTTTCAAATGGATTCCTTTTGATGCGGATTACAATTGCATTCCTGTTGTGGGGGATTACAATTGGATTTCTGTTGTAACGAATTAAACATTGATTCCTTCTGTGGCGGATTCCAAATGGATTCCTTTTGTGGCGGAATACAAATGGATTCCTTTTTAGCGGATTACAAATGGATTCCTTTTGTGGCGAATTACAAATGGATTCCTTTTGTGGCAAGCTCAGCTTGCCAAAACCTTGGTTTTCCTTAGGTTTTGCAGCTTTTTCGCTTGGTTTTCTTAGGATGTCGTTGGTTTTCTTTGTTTTTTTCGCATTTTTTTGCCTTTTTTTTGCATTTTCGCCTGCCCGCCCCTGGCGGCGCGAGGGCCGGCGCAGCGCCACGGCGCGAGCAAGCGAAAATAAAAAAAAGTTTTTAAAAAACGAAAAAAAAAAAAAACAAAAAAAAACACAATGACATCCTAAGAAAACCAAGCGAACAAGTTCCAAAACCTAAGGAAAACCAAAGTTTTGAACGCCTGATAGCCACCAAACCTGTGAAAACACATTGTTTTGGCTCATCGACGTCACGAAACACTGTGTTTTCACAGGTTTCGTGGTCACCAGCTTGTCAAAACCTGGTTTTCCTTAGGTTTTGCAACTTTTTCGCATGGTTTTCTTAGGATGTCATTGGTTTTCTTTGTTTTTTAGCCTTGTTTGTTTTTTTTGTATTTTCGCCTGCCCGCCCCTGGCAGCGCGAGGGCCGGCGCAGCGCCACGGCGCGAACAAGCGAAAATGCAAAAAAAATACAAAAAAAATGCGAAAAAAAGCAAAGAAAACCAATGACATCCTAAGAAAACCAATCGAAAAAGCTGCAAAACCTAAGGAAAACCAAAGTTTTGGACGCCTGATAGCCACCAAACATATGAAAACACATTGTTTTGGCTCATCGACGTCACGAAACACTGTGTTTTCACAGGTGTCGTGGTCACCAGCTGTCAAAACCTTGGTGTTCCTTAGGTTTTGCAGCTTTTTTCGCATGGTTTTCTTAGGATGTCATTGGTTTTATTTGTTTTTTCCAGCCGTTTTTTTGTTTTTTTTGTATTTTCGCCTGCCCGCCCGTGGCGTTTGTGGCGACCTTACACAAGGATTCCCTGTGTGGCGGCCTTACAAAAAGGATTTCTTGCGTGGGAGCTTTATGTAAGAAATCCGCTAGAGAACACAACAACAAAAACATCACGTTGGAGATCTCAGTGCAAGACCTCACCATATATATATATATATATATATATATACCTGGCTTCGCTCGGACCCTGGAGGAGCATCCTGGATCATCGAGCAAACAAAGACACGCACGACACCGAAACATGCACAGGGAATGAACGTCCGAGCGATGGCAAGTATATTTATATATACATATATATACATAAACATACATATGAATATATACGTATATACGTATCTACGTATATACGTATATACGTGTATATATATACACAGAGTGATAGTGTTGAATAGAACGTCCAAAATCCGCCTGTATGGACACGCCCGACCTCATTCCAGCGGCGCCAGGAACTCTCGCACTCGCGCCCTCCGCCCTCTGATCGCCGCTGCCGTCGAGCATTCCCTTCTCGCGCGCACGGAAGGAGCGGCCGGCCTGCACCGGGGCCAGCGGCCGGCGCACGCCTCTCCCGCGCTCGGCGTTGGCACGGCCAGCCGCCGTGCCTCCGCGCACTTGTCCAGCAGGCCTTGGCATCGCTCGGACGTGTGCATTTTTCCTTCGGCGAGGACCATCGAGGAGCATCCCCGATCACTTGGCGAAAAAACCACGCACGAAACCGAAAGAAACACAGGGAATGGACGTCCGAGCGATGGCCAGAGGTGGCCCCAGCATGGTCCGCTTGGGGATCCAGCCGTGTTTTTCGTTGTGCTTCCAGCGTCTTGACACGCCTTCTGCGTCTCTCCTCCTCCTCCTCTTCCCCCCCCCCCGCCTCCCATGCATCCTCCCGCCTGTCTGGGGTGTCGGAAGGGGGGAGACGCAGATGCTAACATCGGTAACTGGACTTTCGAGCCGAGTCGAGGCCTCCACCCCCCTGTCCTCGTCGTCCCTCCGCTCACGCTCCGTTTTCGAGGTGGATTGCTGCACGCGTGAATGTCGCCGCGTGTGTGCGTCGTGGCTAGTTATCACTCACAGCACGTTCGCCGTTACAGTTGGGCCTGTGCACTGTCGCTTTATTTACTGTTGAATCTGCCGTCGTACTCTTAGGTGGGTTGCGAATCGCCGCGGCCCCTCTGAACGGTCAGGTTGCCACCTGTCTGCGTGCCAGTATCTCTCACACGCGCATACGTATCGCACTTCTTTATTCCGCACCCGTCAACCACGTCTTGAACCCCACATTTGCAACGCCAAGTGGTAATTCTTCTAGGCGTGACCCGCCCTAGTACTCGCTGCGTTGGCACCAACCGGCCGCCGACGAAAGTGTGTTTGTTTGCGCGTGTGTGTGTGTGTGCGTGTGTGTCAGTGTGAGTGTCTGTGTCTGTGTCTGTGTCTGTGCGTGCGTGTGTGTGTGTGTGTGTCTGTTTGTGCGTGTCTGTGTCTGTGTGTTCGGGCCCGCTCCCGACCCGCCGACCCAAAAAAGTGTCTGTGTCTGTGTCTCTGTTTGTGCAGTTCCCGTCTCTCGACACGCGCAATGCGCGTCTGATCCAATCCGGTCCCTGTGCGTTCCCTCGTGTTCCTCCTCGTCCTGCTCCTGCTCGTCCTGCTCCTGCTCTCCCTACTCGGTCCCCCTGTCTTCCCCCGCTTCCACTCCCCCGTCTCGTTTTCGTCCCGTCTTCCTGTCCACCCATCTTAAGCCATTCATTCTGGTCCACCTCCAACCCACCTTCTCGTCCTCGTCCCAACCTTCTCGTCCTCGTCCTCCACCTTCTCGTCCTCGTCCCAACTCAACGTGTCCACCTGCCCACCTCGTGAAACTAGAGCCCAGAGGCGCCACTGAGACTCCCGAGAACCCCTAAAACCATCCCTCCCCCCTTTGACCCTCCTGTTATCCTGCTCCTCCACCCCTTTACCACTGCCAAGCACAATGCCAAACTGGCAGAGAAACACGAGGCATCCTACGTCGATGTTTGCGCCATGGACGACGTGAAGCTCGCGGGCAACTCCCTGGTCTCCTGGCCCGCGGCCCTGAGGACAAGTTTCTCTTTCCCCTCCTTCCAGCCTCCCTCCCTCCCTGCCCTCCCCATCCTCCTCCCTCCCTCCCCAGCGCCTCCTTTTGCGGTTCTCCTCCTCCACTTCCTCCTCCTCCTCCTCCTCCTCCTCCTCCTCCTCCTCCTCCTCCTTCCTCCCTCCGCCTTCTGCAGAATTCCTCCTTGTCACACCCCCAGACATGTCGGTAGGGCGGGCCCGGCTTTCTCGCCGTTTACGGACCTACGTCCCGAGCTGTGCAACAGTTTCGTTGAAGGACGGACCGTTTGCAAAGTGACGCTCTCGCTTCGGCGTCGCGCATATGCGCCCTAACAGTCTGCAACAGTTTCAAGGGCAGAGAGGGGTTGTCTTCAAACAGTGGCTCTCGCCTCAGCACCGCGCGAGTTCGTCTAAAAGCCTTTGCAGCGGTGTCGAGGATGCAGGGCTCTTCCTTCTCAGAAGATGGCTCTTGCCCCAGCGCCGCTCGCATTCGTCTTGACACTTCGCAGCAGCTTCAAGAATTGAGGAGGAGGAGGAGGAGGAGGAGGAGGGGGAGGAGGAGGCGGAGGAGTAGGGAGGAGAGGGGGGGCTCCTGTTCAAAATGGGGCTCTCGCCGTAGCGCCGCGCACATTCGTCTTGAAACGCTGGCATCAGCCTAGGGGCGGAATGGAGTGCGGCGCCTTTCCAATCCTCCTCCTCCTCCTCCTCCTCCTCCTCCTCCTCCTCCTCCTCCTCTGTTGACTCTCGCCTTAGCGCCGCGCGCATTTGCTTTTTCAAGGCGCTGCAGCATGTTCCAGGATGGAGGGTGGTGGCTTCTCCGAGTGGGGTTTTCGCATGAGACCTGCCTACCTTTGAATACCAGAAGCTTGAAGATCTGCAGCAGCTGCAAGGCCGGAAGACGGCTGCATTTCAAAAGCAGGCGTTCGCCCGAGCGTTTTCGGAGTTAGTTGGAAGACCAGGAACTTGAACACGTGATACTCACAATGCACGGATGAACGGCGGCTCCTTTCCAAAATGGGGGCTGCCGCACGAGGTTCCTTAGACGCTCGTGGCCAGGCGTGCAAGCTTGTGCAAGAAGGCGGGCGGCCCTTTGTGTCGGGGGTGGACAGAACTCCCACCCTGACACGTCGATCAGTGAATTGTCCGTTGTCGGTTCTCGAGAGGGCGCCGCGGCCGTCATTTTCCAGGCTTGCGCCCGCCAGGTTTGGGCCCGAGGTCGTTTTCACTAGACCACGTTGTGCTGAGTTGCTAAAGGGTGCCCTGTCCATCCCCGATCGTGCTCAAAACGGGGACCTCGCCGGAGGCCTCGCTGAGCTTGTACGATCGTGCCTCTGCGTCTTCCTCCTGGCCCGCTGGAAGGATGCGATGGGCGTGCTGCGTGCGTGCTTCGCCCTCTCCCCCCTCCGGGGCTCGTTTGTCGCTTCCTCGAGCTCGATTCGATTCGACTTCGAGCTCGATTCGATTCGATTTCGATTCGAGCTCGTTTTCGATTCCTCGATTCGATTCGATTTGACTTGGGATTCCGATGTGGGTTTCGATTCCTCATTGGAGCCTTCCTACTCCGCCGGTTTCCGCCGATTCGACCTCTCCCAACTCGGCTTCCGATGTCCGCCGATCCGATTCATGTCGATCGCCGCTCCGACTTATCGATTCGATTCTGGGCTTTCCTGCTCCTCAGCCCCTCCCCTCGATCAGAATCGGGTTTTCCAGAGCTACGCTGGGATGCCTGGGCGCCGACCTGACCCGATCTCGGCACCTCATGCGAGGACAGCCGGTTATCGTGACGTCCTTCGCAAGAGATCGTGGCTTCGGGGGTGCGAGCCTGGCGTAGTTTGCCAGGGATCGTCGCCTCGGGGGCGCGACGCTGAAGTCATGTACTTTGGATTCTGGCCTCGTGAGCCCCGGGAGCTCGAAGTCTGGTGTTGTGGCTTCGGTATCGCAAACTCGGTGTAATGTACGAAAGATTGTGGCCGCGGAAGCGCGAACCTGGTGCAATTTAGAAATAGTTATAGTCTCGGGATCGCGAATCGGGCTTGAGTTTAAAATGAGTCTGGCTTCTTAATGTGCGGATCTTGGCTTCGGGAACGTTCATGTTGAGCCATCTACAAAGGATGATTGCTTCGGGTGAGCGAATCTCATGTACTTTTACGTGTCCCATACCCACCAGAATCTCAGGCAACGTGACTCGGGGAAGGTAACCGGGTGGTTTTCGGTACCCCCCCGCGCGGGCAGTAAGTAACGATGTACAGTAGGAAGCAGAAAGCATAATGATAACATTGGAGACGGCGCTGGAGGAGGTTGCAGGAAACCTCAGTCGCGCAGCCTGATGGCCCCACAAAGGGGCTGGCGACGCTCCTTTTCAAACGGGGGCCCTTGTCTGAATGCCAGGCCTCCAGTGTGCCAGTCTTTCAAGGGGGCGCTCCTTGAGGTGGAAAGGCAGGACGGTCGGGACTTCTGAGGCGGGGACTTGGGACGGCAGGGTGCACCGACGGACCGACGTATAAGATCGAGGTTGTTTCAAGGAGGGAACGCTAACGCTCTTCGTACTTGTCGTATGTTCTTGTGCATCCTGGGGAAGGGTACCCTGAACGATGGCTCTCCCGTCGCGGCGGAGGGTCTCATGTTCTCGAAGGGTGCTCCTCCGTCCCTGCCCCGACTGTCGTGCAGCACCTTGGATGAATCCAGGATCGGCGCGGCCAGGATCGGTGAGGTGGCCGTGGGCGCGGGCGGCCGCGGCCTGGGAACGCCGCGTCGCGAGACGCGCTCCGCACGGCGGCGGGCCTGCGCGCCGCGCCCGCGCGAGGCGGGCGCGCAGCAGCGCGCGCCAGCGCGGCGAGGGCGCGCCAGCGCGGCGAGGGCGCCCCAGCACGGCGCGCCCCGGCCAGCCCTCGGGCAAGCGGCAGCGGGCCCCGCCAGCAGCCGGCGGGCCGAGCCCCACGCGGGCGCGCGCGCCGCCCGCAGCGCCTCCGCCGACCCCGGCCGGGGTCCGGCAGCCGCCCCTGCCGCCGCGCTCCCTCCACGAGGCAGGCGGCCAGGCGCCACTCCTCGGCGCGAGCCGCCGCGGCGGCCGCGTGGCCGCGCGGCCCGAGGCCGCGCGCAGGGGGCGGCTGGGCGCGCCTGGGAGGGCCCTCGTCGCCAAGGACGGGCGCGCAGCGGAGGCCACAGCACGGCAAACCGCCTCCAGCGGGCCGCGCCGCCGCCGAGCGGCGAGGCGGGGTCGTCTGCGCACCCTCTCGCGTCGCTTGGCCGCGGGCGGTTGCGGCCAAGGGCCGCCGGGACTGGGGCTGGGCTCTGTCCTTTGGGGCGCAGAGGCTGCACCCCTACGGGCGCGAGAACCGAGCCCGCGCGCCCGAAATCTGGTCAGCCGCCCTCCCCTCCTCCCAGGACCAGCGAAGAGAGCGCGTCTCGCGTGCCCCTCGGGCAAGCCTCGGCGCGCGAGCCAGAGCGGCTTGAGCCAAAATGGTTTGGGAGGAGGAGGAGGAGGAGGAGGAGGAGGAGGAGGAGGAGGAGGAGGAGGAGGAGGAGGAGGTGAAGGTGGAGGAGGAGGAGGAGGAGGACCAGAGTAGTGTAATTGTTTGTGGCGAGGGTGAACAAACGAGTCCGCGGGGGAGGAGGAGAAGGAGGAGGAGGAGGCCGAGGAGGAGGAGGAGGAGGAGGAGGAGGAGGAGCAAGAGCAGGAGGAGGAGGAGGAAGAAAGGAGGAGGAGGAGGAGCAGGAGGAGGAGGAGCAGGCGGAGGAGGAGGAGGGCGCGCCCCGAGCGGCGCGCGGCCCCCGCCTGCAGCAGCAGCACGGTGCCCAACCGCCCGCCCTGCTGCCCGCCTTCGTCGACGCCCCCGCCCGCACTGGAGCCATCTCAGCGGCCGCCGCCGAGGCGCCGCCCTAGCGGCGCCTGCGCCCCCCGCGGCAGGGGTCCCTGGCCACAGTCGGCGCTCGAGCTGAGCCACGGCTTCGCGCCCCGCCAGTGTGGTCGGAGCCTCCGGCTCGCGGCAGCGGCGGGTTCGTCCCCCGCGAACGCTTTCCACCGTGCGGTGGTGCAACTGCCGCGGGCGCAACACCATACGGGCACCTAGCCTACGCCCGCAGGTCGTGCGTCGAGTGCGCCGGCAGCCCGCCGACCTGCACCTGCGTGCCGCGGGCCATGGCTCGCCCGCGAGGCCCTGCACGGTGGCCGCCGCGGCGGGGGCGGTGGGTGGGCCCGAGCTTGCGCAGCCGCCTCTTGCAGGCAGCTCGCGTGCCGCGTGCCTCTGACCGGCAACAGCGGCAGCGCCTCAGCAACGCTCTAGGCCCTTGCGCGGCTCATACGACGATCCGGATGTCGTGCCGCGATCCGTGAAGAGCCTCCTCGACGGGGTCGGCTGCGGTGCGCGCTCGAGGGGTGCACACGCGGCCCGCCCGCTCATCGACATCCCGCACCGCCCTCACTTCAGCATCCAAGAGGGCGCGCCTCTGGGCGGCCTGCTCTGCGAGGCGGTCCGCCTCCCAGTTGAGGTGAACGTAGAGCATGTCAACACCCGCCTCCACCGCCTCGTCGCCCATGAGATGCAACCCGACCTTGTGGACGACGAGCTCGCACGAGCGCTCGGCGACGACCCGCTCCAACCGCTCCGAAAGGTCGCGGTGGGTGCGGCGGCGGCGAGCGCTGCATTTGTCCCAGCCGCGCTGGACCTACGCCGAGTCCAGGACAGAATGCAGCACCCACCGAGGAGCACCGCAGTCTTCGACGTACGCGGCCAGCGCCCGCAGCTCCGCGAGGTTGACCGTCTGCGCATCGCTGCCTGGGATGCCGGCCCCGGACTTCGCACGGGCGCCTCGGGCCCTGCGGCCCCGGGGCATAGGACCATCCTGCGCGTTGCAGCCGCGAGTCGCTGGAAAACTCACCGCTCGAGCCATCGCCGCCGCCCAACCACTGCCTGCCGTCGCCGACGACAAGATCGGGCCCTCGACCCCAGCAAGCGGCGCCGCGTCGCCGTCAGAAGCACGGGCTTCCTGATGCCTCTTGCGTCAC